ATATATTCTAAAGCATACACACGGGACATAAAATGATTATATATATATATATTAAATATCCTTTGGACTCATACAAACGAGTAAATAACACAAACAACAAACCTCCTAAAAAATGTGGTAAATGAACATATGTACATAAATGAGAGCGAAAAAATTGCATAGTGATCAAAATGAAAGGGCAAGTAAATCCAATCTTATAATAGCAAATCTAAGGACTTGATCGGCCGATTAAACAAACATGAGTCATCCAACAAAAAAATTATATATTCTAGGGACCAAAATTGAAACAATCCCATAAGCATGTGTAGGATTAAAATAAAAGTTTCAAAAAAAGCATGTTAAATGTACAAGCAAATAAGAAATTTAAAATAACTAAGCCTATAGACTAAAATAAAACATAAAGCAAGTAAAGAGCTTAAAATGGAAGGATGAACTTTCATTAAGTGACCAAAATGTGAGTTTTACAAAGCTGGAACCTTCCTTGCACGAATAGTACATGCACTAAACGCATGGCTTTTCTCATTCCCTCAAAACGACGTCACACAAGGGATATGATATAACCTACTTTAAGGGTAATTTGAAACCCTTATTTTCATTCTTTACCCCCTTTTTCAGTCGCTCTCTCCCTACTCTCCCCCTTCTTCTCTTCCTTCTCGCCGTGGGTGGAAACTAACCAACTTCGACCACCGTAAATCAGTGGCCAGGGGATACAAAATGCTCGGGACAACACCTTTCAAAGCCAAACCCCTTTATTTAACCCCAAAAATACCCAAACCCAAAAATGAAAACTAACCATTAAAGGTACAAGCTTTACCTTCAGCAATGGAGCCTTGTTGCTCTGGTGAAACAAATCAACGACTGGGTCCTTAAAGGTGGGTATTTTCCTTCCTTTTTTGTTCCAATTTTTTGTTTGGTTCGAAGGTTTGCCCTCTTCTTTTTTGTTCGAAAATATCCTTTTTTTGGGTTTTGGATGATCTTTTTTTCAAATTGCTCACCTCTTCTCTCTATTCCCTTTTTTGTCTCGTTCGAACCACATCCTTAAAAATACCTTGATGCATGTTGATTGATCTTTTGGCCAGTGAGGAAAATCGGGACATTTAATGTCCCAAATTTTCTGGTATTAAGTAGGTTTAGGTGGTTATTTTAAGAATGGATTTGGTTGGTTTTTCTATTTTGGTTTATTGTTTTTACTCTTCGCGAGATGGTGATTATGATGATGGTTGAAATAGAGGCTATCGGATGACGGGATCAGGCGACCGAAACAGTGGCAGCGGCGGGAGACTTTGAATGGAAGTGGAAGTGGTTACGACAGCGTGGCCTAGAAACCATAAGGTTTCCAACCCTAATTGCTTGTTGGGTTTGGACCAGTAGTTGGGGCTCAATGTTTGGGCTTCAGTTTGGGTTGTAATTTTGAGCTTGGTTGGGCCTGTTGTAAAGGCTTGCAAAAAGAAATAAAATCTAAATAATAATAATAATAATAATAATAATAATTACATATACTCAAAACCCACTATCGACAATATATGTATATAACATATACAAAAATTAAGATATATATTGTATTAAATTATAGAAATCCATTTAAACTGGAATGAAATATTATCATAATATTATAAATATTTACAATTAAATCAAAACAGAAAATGTAATACCAAAAAAAATTTACAACATAAACTCGAACAATTTCACTCGAAAAACACCAAATTAAGTTTGAGTTATAAAATATGACTAGTCAACTCGAATAACTCAAAAAATATTTACTATACTAGACTCAACTTGATTGAACGTTCATCCCTAGAGTAATCTACATATAAAGTCCCCTACTATTGTGTATTTTTTTGTTATGTCCTTCAACTACTAAAAGTTATAAAAAGTTCATCTGAGTTGACAAAGTTACAAATTAATCATTTTAATTGAAAAATCAATAGAAGATGACGTGAGAGATAATAAAATTGACATAATAACAAATTTAATATTTAACCTCTGCACATTGTTATATTTAAGTCCTGCTTCTAAAACTTTTTCCCTTGACATTTTAATATCACGCCAATTTAGTTCCTCTTCTAGCTAATTTTGTATTTCATATCCTCTCCACCATTCAATTTTCTAAATGAGGTCATAGAATTCCTAAACCCCAAGTTTATGCATTTCTTTCATTTGATAGATTAGTGATAAATATATGTATTGAATGTTATGTTGTGTTTGAATATGTATGCATTTGGTTTTAGTTTTGGAGTAAACAAGTTGTCGTTGATGGTTAAAATTAGTGATAACCAAAAGTTTGAAATAAGTTAGGGTAGTAAATATCGAGTTCATTAATCTATTGTTGTGTGATAATGTCTGTGTAAGTAAACTATGGTTATTGTTGCTAATATGTTATTTCGGTTAAAAAAGGAGCAAATTCTTAGCATATTAATGCAGGAAGTATGCTTCTATTCTTATAAGCATTGTTTTTTTGTTATAAAAAGTTTAGGCCAGAGTAGTTCCCTCAGTCTAGGGTCAGGGCATACCTAAGACCCAACTGAGATTTACATAAGAATTTACATATTGCCCACCAAGAGTAACGATGGTAGGATTCTTACAAGCAATTTTGATAAATTATGATATGTTGAGATGTGTTGACATACTACGCTTTTCAACTTATAGGATTTCATTCTAGATAGATTAGTTCTTGATTGTATTTTTAGAGTTCATAAGCTAATCTCTAATAAAGATCGATGTAGTCCGTTGTTCTTAAACTCTTATGAAAGGTCACATGTATTTGAGGTCTTGATGAACGGTAAATAGAATTTGTTGGTATCGGTAAGTGTCAAAGGAAAACTTGTATGATATTGAAATAATATTGGAATTCTCATGCTATGGAAAAGTACGTTAAACAAGTGAAAAATTATCTTCGGTGGAAGTGTCGAAAGGTTTGGCAACATGTGAAAAGGGGAACTAATAAATTTGGTAAAGCATGGGAATAGGCTTAAATGATAGGGTTTATATGTAAAATGAATGTTATAAATTTGAATTGAAGTGATAAACACTTATATGTGGCTTGTGTGATGGGAATCTAATATGCGTTTTGGGTTTATTTTAGTGTTAAATGTTATCTATTTGAGTTATTTGTTCATTTTTAGGGGTTTCTTGAGGCATAGATCAAAAATTGAATTTCAACTCTAAAATTTTAAAGTGAGTATCGAAACTATGCGTAAAGTTTTTGAAATATTCCGAAAGATTTGATTATGTTATTTAATATAATTTTTTAAAGATGTCAATTGAAATAATACTAAAATAAATAGTGAATATTATATATATTTATTTATTAAATCGATCAGAATAATTCATTTTAGAAATTTGAAAATGAAGTTATTGGATACCTCATTTTGAAAATAAATGTATGAATCAATTTTTTAACGATTTGACAAGATGTGAATATTATGTAAGATATTTATAGGATACTGTTAATGTACTTTTATTTTGTAACTTTTGAATGATTAAAAAACAATTACATAAAGCAAATATAAGTTTGGCTAACTTTTTATTATTGAAAAGAACCATTGCCTCCAAAACAGTGGTCTAACACTTAGCTGGCACTTTCATCGACCAAAGCTCAATGGAGCTTGAGCCAACCTAATCACCACCTACCAAAATTGATTGAAGCATGCAACTAGTAGAAATGGGTAATGTGAAAATTAGATCCTAAAGTTTATCAAAATAATCATTTTAGTCTTTATTTCTTAACATTTTAGCCTCTAATATTTCATTTTGAGACAAGAAAAGTAATTTTATAGATAAAAATCGATAGTTAACAAATAGTAACACCCTAAAATATGGTATCTTAACCCTAAAATAAAACATTAGGACCAAAATACTCCAAAAACATAATAAGGATCAACATGACTATTTGATCAAATGTTGAGGGTTTTTTACTCTTATATGAAACAATATAACTAAAATGTTTTTTTTTAAAGAACATATGCCAAAATGATCATTTTAATAAACATTGGGAACTAATTTCAATATTATACCTTAACTAAAATATTATTACCGATTTAAATAAAATTGTATAAAAATTATTATTAGACTTTATAAATTATTAAAATGAATCAAAAGTTATCTATTTAAATATAAAATATTACACATTTACATTTAAATCTTGTTCTTTTATATATTGAAACAATAACAACGTCTTAACTCAACTGTTAAATTTACCTTAGGTTGTTCTAGTCCTGATTTCAAACTATCAATTACTATTAAATGGATTAGTGTACAAATTATCAACTATAAATTGGACTAATAACATGAGATGTGAGATCTTTTAAATAATATCCTCAATTTGAATGTTTCTTTTATAACGCAGAAACAACTAGAGATTAACTAAAACTAATAAATCCTCAATTAGAATATTAATATTATGAATAAATCAATTTGAATGATAAAATCATCCATTATATAAGATTCTAGAATATCGATATATGTTAATCAATTAATAAATTAAATAATTATTGTTATAATAATAATTGTATATATGAATTAGATCGAATTAATTTTTAATCTTGAACCCACTATCTATAATAATAGAAAAAATCATTAAAAATATATTAAAAATTAAATTTACATAAATTTAAATAGCAATTCTTTCTTTAATAATTTTGGGTGATTATAAGATAGTGTCTGTTTATAATATTTCTTAACTATCAATAACACACATACCCACAAACGTAGTTACTTGACCCAAAATCTCTGAAAAATAATATTTCTTTTAATCATTAAGAAAATTTTATCGGTTAGCCCTCCTACTTTGGAGAAATCCATGTTTAATTAATTTCCTTGTTAAATTAAAATTGATTTGTGTGACTGTGCCCCGGCCCTCTCTCCCCTTTAAATAGCACTCCTCTCAGCCTGACTCGAACAATAATTTCCCTATTTTCCCTTCTGTCTTTTAAAAAATAGAAGAAAATCTACCAGTGATAGCAAAAAGAGTACGGAACATACTAAGAGCTGTTATCTTCATGATGAAAAAAGGCATCTTATCCAAGCCAAAGTTCTTGGTCCATCTCCACAAGCTGCTCAAACGTGGCAAAATCGCCAGCTCCAAAGCTACTGCCAATATCCTCATGTTCTACCACCACCACCACCACCAAGTCTCCTCCTTATCCTTCAAACCCTCTAGGGCGGTCCGCGAGTACGAGTTCAGCTGCAGCAACACCCCGAACTACATCTTCCCTTTCAACCTCCCCAACAAGAAGAAAACCGGCATTAACAACTACTACCACTACTTCTTCGCTTGCACACACGCGCCCCGTACTTACGACGATGACATCGCCGCCGCGAACGCTTTCAAGGTTGTTCTCGAGATGCTTAACGACGAAAACGACGACAACAACAACGTCATCGGAGCCGTTGTTGCCGCTTCCCCTATGTTGCCTGATTTCGGACAAACTCCATTGGTGAGACAGCTTAGGGTAACGGACTCTCCTTTCCCTTTAAGCGATGCCGATGAAGGCAATGACAACGTTGATAAGGCAGCTGACGATTTCATTATAAGGTTTTACAAGGATTTGAAGCTGCAAAATAAGGGAATGCTGACTTCTGTTAATAATTTCCATGTTTGGGGTTTTTTTGCTGTTGATATAACAAATAAATGGGAAAACTATGTGAAAATTAACGTTTTTGTAATAGTTGGGTGATTATAAAATATTAATTGTTCAGAATCTTTTTAACTATTAACAATGTACGCGCTATATAGAAATAACTATTTAAATTAAAAACCTTAAGAAAAATAACACTACTTTTGATTAATGAGATCGCTGAATTTAAAATCGATACTTTATAGTGTAATATCGAACACCTTCTTGAAGGAATGGGATTTGAAATAGACATGTTAAGCATATGGAAAATTTTGGGATTTATGAGCATGAACCTGCTTGTCCATTTGATTTTGTTCTTTTAACCAAAATTTACAATGGGCAATTAGGTTATCTGTTAAAGCCTGAATTGATGACAACCATTTTAATGGCTTTATGATTTATACTCCACTAAGTTGAAAAGTGTAGTTATATGGATTTATACACCAATTATTATTGAATTACATTTTGGTAGCAGTTGGCAAAAGTTTTTGATGCTGTAATTTACCTATTTTATTTTACGTTTACTCTCATATCTAAGATGTTTATATAAATTTTAAAGGTTACCATTTATTATTTTGGTATAATACCAAAACTAACCACAACATTTATCAATATATCTATTTTGGTCCTTATTCTTTTTAGTTTGAAAATTTTAGCAACAATTATTCATTTTGGAACAAAAAAGGTCTTTATGTGGATGGAAACCATTAGTAAACAAGCGGTTAACGCTAAAAACAATAGGGATATTTCTACCCTATATTGAAACATCATAGGCCAAAATGCTCCAGAAAAAAGAATAAGGGTCAAAGTGACTATTTAGTCAAACGTTAAGGACCTTTTTATCTTAAAATGAAACGTATTGGCTAAAATGCTAAAAAAATAATAAGAACCAAAATGATGATTTTGATAAACGTTGAGGTTAATTTTATACCTTATATTTTTTATATAACATATGTACTAGTCACACTTCTTTATCATTCATGAATTGAAAGGTATTGAATATTCAAGAAATTTAATCTTAAATCTTCTTATATAATGTTTCGACAATAACACTAACCGAACTAAACTCTGCCAATAATTATTATTCATATATATTCATGTTTTGTCTTATTTTATATGTAATAAATAATGGGAAAGTAAGGATAAAAAAGAGAGGAAATAAAGTTGAGGATATGTTGATTGGCTAAAGTATAATGGAGCCACTCGTGTATCACATTCATGTTAATTTCCTTACAGTTTATTGGATATTGAGATGCGGGAATCACGTATTCCTTGTACGTAAAAAGTTTAAAAAGAATACATATTATATGTACATGTGCTAGCTAGTAGTTTGGTACTTTGATCAAATTAATAAAAGTTAAGCATGCGTACCATATATACTATGCTTATATTATACATATTATGTATGTGTATAGTAGTCAATAGATGCATGCTTGAATTATAGTATCAAATATTTTTTTTGTATTGTTGTTTATTGTAATTCCCTAGGTCGGCCGATGCATTACGACAGTCTAACGGAATACTATAAGTTTTCCAAAACATTTTTTTCAATAAACTTAAAATCATTTCAAATAAACATCCTTTAAAAATATAGTTGATAATATTAAAGTTCCATTCCAGTAATTTAAAAGTCATCAAGGACTAAGTAAAATAAATATCTGAAATCAGTTTCGAAATCAATCTATCATCAATAGGAAAAGCAATATAAATAATAAAAATAAATACTTAAAAAATATAGGTACATGTCACCCAAAGTAAATGCAACTCGGAAGATAAATACATTACAACAAAAGGTATTGCAGAATGTGTTGATCCTCCAAGTGCTAGGTTCAGGATGCCTATCAAAAGCATCTGAAAGAGAAAAGTTTGGGGGAGTGAGCTAGGGAGCTCAATGTATTCCAACGGTGCAGAAATAAAACATACATATAAGTTTCCAAAACAATTTAGCTCCAAGTTATGAAAACGTCAATAGTGCTTTTAACTTAAAATACATAATTGCTCTCCAACTGAACACCATATGCAGTTCCCCAGAACTGCATCCATAAGGACTTACCCTAGGCCCAAAGGGCGTAGGTGCCTACCTAAGGGAGCATCTTGGGTCCATAAGGTCTTATCCTAGTCGAAGCATAGGTGCCCACCTGAGGGGTGTGCCCTCAGGCCCATAAGGACTTACACAATGAACATAGCATATGTGTCACTCTAAGGGAGTACCTTAGGGTCCATAAGGTCTTACCACTATTCCCATTAGACCTAGGAGCCTACCCAAGGGTCGCCTTAGGTCCATAAGGAATTAGCAGCTCGATTGGTCTGAACCTATATACGGAATTACTAGTTTGACCGAAGTTGAACCTGCAAAGACTTCATACTAGATCCCAGAGTACCTCGAAGAAAAACATCTTTCAGACAGTAACTAGAGAACATGTGTCAAGCAAGCATGATATAAAAATATAAAATCATGAATCATACTTAAATCAGTTAAATCATTACGTTAGTCAAATCAGATCAAACAATTCATTTCAAATTAGAGAAAATAATCATGTGCACATGGTATTTCAAAAAGATATTTAACATAGATACCAGGTTCACTATGCTCTTCGACTGTACGAGAACATGAGTCATTATAGAACAGGGTTATAATCTGATTATTATTAAAACGAATATTTAACAACGTTACATAACTATATGGGTAATCACAGGCTCGCACTGATGGATAGATCTGGAGGAATCAGTTTGAGAAGACGAGCGGTCAGAAGATCCACGAGTACCTTAAATATACGATAACATAAATTAGTCATTGACCCTTAATAAATTTAATGCACTGAAATAAATACTTAAATTACAATACACGCTTGAGTTTAACGATAAATTCAAGACTTTGGGTTCGAATTTGGTAAAAGACTTCTGATTCGGATTCAGGTCGTTAAAAAAAAACATAAAATATGATTTTTCAAAAATGTTAACTTTTTTGGTCAAAGTCAATGATCACGGTCAAAGTCGAAGTCATGGGCAGGTCAACGTTCAACGGTAGGTCAATGGTCAGGTCAAAGTCAACAGTTCAGGTTAACTCGATTCGGTTCAAACATACCCGGTTTAGGCTGGGTTGGGTCAGTTCAGTCTGGTTATATCGTTCTAAAAGGTTTACAGGAGCAAAGATGAGCCCCATGCGTACGCGCGTACGTGGGTGGAAACAGATTAAGGGACGATTGTCGATTACTCTTACAGCTTCGACCCACCCAAACAATCTACAACGACCATTAAATCAACCTAACGATTTAAATCAACCGAACAAAACATTTGAAGCTTACCCACACCAGCGACGAAGGAAATTGGTAGTGATGACTTGACCCACCGTTGGGTCTTGACCGGAGAGTGATAAGGGGAACACAGGGGCGGTGCGGTGAGGCAAAAAGGCTGCTGGAAACGACAATCGAAGCAACCAAAGGAGAAATTGAGTTCTCTGAAAAATCTTTCAAACACTCAGAGACGATAGACGGTGAAGTATTTCGGCGAGTGACCGACTGGGGTGGGCTCAGAGCTAAGCGTCGTTTCACTTGGGTGGTGATAACATACACTGTGGCCGAAGGTGGTTGGTCGAGATGGAACGTAAGGTGACGGGGGTTATTTTTTGGTAAAAAAATTGGTTTTGGGTTTGGCTCACGACATAGGGTTTCTATATTTAGGTTTTATCCCAAATAAGTTATTATATAATCTATATATATATATATATTATAATAAAACAACTAGCAGTCTAGCCCAGTGGCTAGGGCATGGGCACCTATGACCCTAGGGTCATGGGTTCAAGCCCCCTCATCAAATCCCTATTTTTTATTTTTCAACTAACCACAAAAATAGGATTCAGTTTATATCCTAAACTTCCTAGACTTTGAAACTAGCCCAAAAAGTTTAAGAAACTTGCACTATAGTTAAAATCAAATAATTATTTAATAAATTTAAAATTGAGATCGAGGGTGAACTCTCCTCCCCTTAAAAGAATTTCGTCCCCAAATAAAAACTAGTCTCAAAGGTCATTCAAGGACAATGATCATGTTCTATAAATGATAACGTAGAATCTTACTAGACTCAAGCAAGAAACAAGGGTCTCGATGCCTTAAATCATGATCCAAGGATCTTAAGATAAGAAACTCGATTATAGAAAGCCATTATAAGACATGCATGAAAAGAAACAGAAATAGCAATAAATATACCTAGAAATCACTGGTTCATTTCTAGATATGAAAGTCCTACCCTGATTATGACTCCTAGTGGGAGTCTGAACAAAGCCTGTGATCGTGCATGATTCTGAGCGGAGGTCTGATCGATAGAAGCTGGATTCGAATAATTCCTCATAAAGTGCTCGCTATAGCCACAATGATAATAGGTACCCATCTTCTTACGACACTCTCCCCCGTGTCGATTCCCACAGTACTCGAACTCGGTATCAAAGAAAACCTGAAGAATCGCCTCGACTAACAGATGAAGGTGGAGGTGACACAAACCTCAAACCAGTATGGTTCTTCTGATGGGCATCAGAAAGAGTCCTTTACAGGGCGTGCATAGAGACGCATATGACCAAAAGGTCTCCTAGATTGTTCTCGATCTTCCATATCTCTATCAAGAGCAGAAGCCTCTACTTATTCAGCATATTTTCTTCTCCTTACTACAACGTCAATACCTTATCCTGATGAGTAACCATATGATGTCACAGCTCGTATTTGAGTCCCTGAGCAAACATTTTGCCCCTATCCCTCTCGGTAGTACCAAACTAGAACCATACTACATCAATTTCAGACTCTATCCATAATCAGACACTATCATAACTCCTGAACCAGATCCTGGAACTATTTTCACCTCTGTGCGAGATAATGCTCCCAGAAAAAGACTCCTAAATCGCTCTCTGAAGAAATCCAGGACAAGTAATCGGCCGGAACACTACTGACCATAGACTCCCACCAATTGTGAGCATTCCCGTCCAATATAGACACGGATCCAAAATAACACCGTTGCGAGTCTAATCTTAATTGATCCATGCGTTGCTTGGTATCACAAAGCTAGTCCTCGAC